CACTGAGTTCAAGGGCGGGATTCTGGCACCAGGACCAATGACACCAAGCACCGAAGGTGAGAGCTGGGCCACATCAGGGAACGACTCAGCGCTGGGGGTTCTGTGAAGAAAATGCCTTTGTAAGTCAAACCACTGGGCAAACTATCTGAGGAGCAGCGGAAAGGGAGGTAGGGGAGCCAGGGAAGAGACTGATTTCATTACGACGGTCCTGGTGACAATAACCTTTTGTCCTCTATACAATCTGGGCCTGCCAAGCTGCTCTACAGTCTCTGAGAGAGCACGAGGGTGGGAGAGAAAGAATCCCCGCCAGGAGGCAACAGACTCATCCTTAATTATGAGACAAGGCTTTCCAGGGCCGACATCCTCTCCCACACTTCCTCCCCACTGCAGACACACCACAGAACGCTGGCATGACGCTCCCCTAGTGAGAGCAGGCAATTTTCCTGAGCACCGGAGATCTGGTTCTTGGGGGATCTTCCCCACCATCACACTCCAAATTTCACACAGGCTCTTAGTGATGAGTGTGAAGCATCATGTTTCAATTTGGCCGATGGTCTGCTGGGTCAGAGCGAGAACTACAGAAGTTAGTGCCTAAGTATGTAGCTTACTGCTCCTGAAAAGCTTCATTTCACCTTCTTGAAGAACCCCAAAGGACTCAGAGAGACACTAATTCGGGTAGATAGAGGTCCCCTGCTTAAATTGATGTCACAGCTCAGAAAAGAATAACGGTGTCTGGTCTTACCTTGAAGAACAGTCGACGGGTGCACTGTATCAGAAAGAGCCCTGAACTAGAGTCAGAATCCTGGGTTCTAATCCTTATTCAGACACTTTTGCATTGATGGAAGCTGAAAAATTTGCCTAGTCCCTCTGAGCCTCAATCTGGTCAACTGAAAAATGGGAACAAGAGGGAGGGGCCATTCAGCATTTGGGAGTTCAGCACAGTAGTAAACAACGTATACCCTGAAGTGATGCTGTCTGGGCTCACATCCCAGCTCTTCTCACTCGTTGTGTTATCTTGAGCAACTTAGCCTCTGTGCCATAGTTTCCTCGTCAGTAAAAGGTATCTAGTTCATAGGATTGTTATAAACATGAGAAATCACGTAAAGTTCTCCTCACAGTGCTTGTCCCTTAGCTTTCCCAGTAACTGTCAGGGACCCCCTTTACTATCATGATTTGTGGGGGACACGGGTGGAGATAAGAATTTCCACAACTGGGTTATTTACTATGAGGATTAAACAGCTTGCAACAGGTGAAGCCTTTATTTGTTAGATTTCAGAGAAAGCAGGTTCAGGGGCCAAGCTAAACTCTGAGCCAAGAAACAGAGAGGGACTGGGCAAGGGCTTCTGTGTGTCCCGGAGCATGACACATTCCAAATACTCACCAGCTGACCCTTGAACAACGTGGCGTTTAGGGGTGCCGACCTCTGCACAGCTGAAAATCCGCGTGTAACTTCTGACTTCCCAGAGACTTCACTACAGTGTCCCTTGGTATCCACGGGGGACTGGTTCCAGGACCCCCATGGACGCCAAAATCTGTGGTGCTCATGTCCCTTATATAAAGGGTGAGGAACAATGTGTACAAGCCAGCCCTCCGCATCTGCGGATTTGCAACTCCAAATCTGTTTTCAATCCGCAGTTACTTGAATTCATGGAGGGGAAACCCTGGGATACAGAGGGCTGGCTGTATAGCCATCGAAAACGATCTGCGTATAAGCGGAGCTGCGCAGTTCAAACCCATGTTGTTTAAGGGTCAACTCTAATTTAGGGCTTCCATGGGAAATAGGCTGCCCATCCTCTCTCCTTGTCCGTAGAATTGCCGGCTGAGAAAGGCAGCAAACTGAGGTCCTGTGTTTTTTAAGTCCTGAAAAATAACTGCTAGATCTGAGGTTTTCTTTTAGAGGTTAAAAACATTTTTCAAAGGGACTCATTAAAGTTGGGGGAGGGAGACGGCATAAGCAGCGCTCTAAACTGGTTTTAAACTCCGCACCTTCTTCCAATGAAGATGTGAAGTGCTCCCCTTTACTTTAAATATCATTTGCACAAAAGCATGGAAACAAGGAACAGACTGACAGGGACAAGGGGTGGTGTACAAGGGAGGAAAGAAGGGGAAGGGCCTAGTTAAAGGACAAGTATAAATGACCCCTGGGCCAAGGGGGAAAATTGGGACAACTGTAATAGAACAACAGTAAAAAGAATATGAAATACATTTTCAAATAAAAAATAATGCAAAGGTGTACATAAGCCCCTGCTCGCAGCCCAAGCTGGGAGCCAAAGCCACACAGGGAATTATGCTGAAAATAATCAGCAAACCATGTCTGGGAAAGCCATTCTCAGTCTTGGCTGCTCAGTGATTCAGTGCGGAGTTCCACACATAAATGCAGTCCGCTTACGGACTCCTTATTTACTTTAGGGCCATGCTGGCACTCTGGGTGTGTGGTGTGTGAGTGTGTGTGTATGTGTAAAGGAAAGAGAGCACAGAAACTTGGACATAATCTAGTCCCCGAACTTGACTACATTTAAAGAAATTATGAAATGGAGGTAAACTTTTGCCATTTGTTTACCAAGTTAGTCTTGGCTGCTTAGCTCTCATTTGTGTTTCTGGCATAGAAAGAACACACAAACAGCCTTGCCTCAAGCTCAACATGTCTCATGTGCAAGCTCCTCATTCTTACCCTTCCCATGGACCATCTACATGTCCACCTGCCCCCTCAACTCTGCCAATTACACCCCCTTCTTCCTTCCACCCAATAACAGCTTCCTGTCTCCTATGCGTCGGGCACAGGGCCAGGCATGGGGCTCCCACTGGGGGCTCACTGACTACCTGAAGAGGCGCATGTACACGGGTAACTGACACAATGAATAACACACCCCATACATTTATCCCTTGGCCTATATAATCTAGTTTCTTGTTCATTTCCTTTCCCTCTATTTTCTGCTTCCATCCCTCTATTTGGCCCTCGAGACCTTACACATCTATTTTTTATGATGCCCCCCAGCCCCGAGTACCTGCATCTGCTTTCTTGCCTAGTTAGCCTCCTTCAAACTCCTCTTAGAACCACTTTCCTAAAACACTGCGTTCGTCATTGATTCTCCTTCTCAGAAACATACAAGAATAACCTACAGCTTCCCGCAGTACATCTACAAGCCTCTGCCTGGCTTCCCTGATCCTTGATGTCATTCCCTCAGTATCAAGTCAGTCTGATTTCCCAGATGCTCCCCTTCTTTGTGGTCATTTTGCTCGCTGTCTCTTAGACAGACTCTTTTTTATGTATTTACAATCACATGGTTCTGGACCTGGATGCCTTTCATTGTTCCAAATTCTGCAAAATCCACACCAAATTGCACCACGCTTTTCCGAACTAGGGAGGCCCTCACCTTAAATTAAGCATTTCTGTTTAAGTGCTGATTTTGCAGATTGAATGTAAACGAATTTATACAGAACACCCAGTTGGGTTAGGGTGGTGATTTTCAATCTTTTTCATCTCATGGCACATATAAACTAATTACTAAAATTCTGTGGCGCACCAAAAAAATAGGTCTAATTTTGATTGACTCACACCAGGCAGCTATTGTTGTATTGGCTCCTGTCAATTTTTAATTTGACAATCTAAGGGAAAAGAGGTCAGTATTTCTGATTAACTAGTCAGGTACTGCAAAACTGCAAAACTAAGAGCTGCAAATGTAGTGGGCTCTTTCTGACTAATATAATACGTTCATGTTTTAGGAGTAAATAGTTTAGACTTTGTGGGTCATATAGTGTCTGTTGCAACTACTCAACTGCCCTGATACAGCATGAGGGTAGCCTAAGATCAAATATACACAAAGAAACATGGCTGCATTAACTTTTTTTTTTTTAAATAGAAAGGAGTGGCAGGTAGAATTTGGCTTTTGGGCCATAGTTTGTTGGTCTCATTGTAGGAGAAGAGTGGATACTGGTGAGGATTTCTTCTTTTGGATGGCAAAGGGCAATGGGAAGGGCCTTAGATGAGCCCCTTTTCTTCCCTGGGTAGCGCAACTGTTCCTCTAAGACAGTATGTACCGGGGAAGATTCCTAGCCTAGAAGTCATCACCATGGGAATTTGGGCTGTAACCATCTGTTATAGCTATTTTGGTCACTGAAGAAGAAATAATGGAATCTACTTCTTTGCCTGTGCTGGAGATATGAAGAAGAAGGGGTCTGTTCTCTCGCTCTCTGGCTGCCCTCCAGGCTGGCAAGGGACACAGCGCCTAAGGGTGAATCTTTACCCACACGTCTCTGTGCCTGGCACTGCTCTCATTTTAATCCTTACACCGACCCTAGTACATATAGGTACTTTATCTTCGTAATTTTTTTTCAGGTGGAAGAAACATGAGATTCTCAGTCACCATTAGCCACTGATCCACAAGAGAAATGCTTCTGTGCTTAGACAGGTGTGTTTTGGCAGTGAGACGCCTCCTACCAGAGTTTCTTATTTCAGTTTGTGTGTGATAAAATAAGGATAGCTCATCACGTCTGGTCCTTACAAGAGCCCTGCAAGGAGTATGTATTTTTTCACTATATCCATGTAAAACTGAGCTCATAGGGGTGAAGTAGTTTATGCAACTTTGCCCATTTAGAAAGATCAGAGTTAGGGTTCAAATCCAAGTTTGTCTGACCCAAGAAACCACTAGTCAATCCCTACAAGCCCCTGACCTAAAAAAAAAAACAAAGCAAAAAACAAGTTTAATGTGTTTTAAAAGCCTTCCCAAACGCTTGCTCTGCGTAAAGTGAGGAATTATGTCTGCTTTGTGGGCTCTAGTGTCCCCACAGAGAACTTCAGAAAAGCAGATAGGCAACCAGCCCCTCTGACTTGAGAACTGTGCCCAGGCGTACAGAACAGAGGCAGCGTCGCCCCTTTCCCTGGACCACACCCCCGGGGCCGCTGGGGCACCTCCTGATCCAAACTGCATAATGGCTTGTTGGGGGGGGCGACCCTTCCTTCACACACACCTGGCAGTAAGGCGAGGGAGGCGTGTTCTTACCAGCCTGTCATATTAAAGTCCCTGTAGAGCATCTTCTTTCCAAGTTCCTTTCTCTGCACTCTCCTTGGAAACTCCAAATGTGTGAATTCATTTCCCAGCAAGTGAGGCTGCATGAATGCCTAATAGCAAAAAGAAAAAAAAAAAAAAAACCCACACACAGATTTAGAAGAAAAAAATAAGACTCAAGGATGTTTTGCAAATCGAGACACAGCATATTTCAAAAACAAAAAAATCGTTCTCATAGTTTAAGGAAAATAAGTAGATTTAAGACTCTCAATGCAAATAAAAATCACCCACTTAATTTATTGAGGGATATAACTTTTTCATTTGATATGAAAAGTTGTCATCCAAGGCAAGTATTGTCAAAGTCCTCAGGAAAAAGAGACTGAGATTCTCCCAAGGTAGCTCTTCCATTCGAATCCAGGATGATTTCACTTTCCTGACCCTCTTTGCCTTGGCTTTCTCTGCTGCCCTCTTGCTCATACTCCTAGTTACCCGGCCTTGCCTTTGAACCCTCTGCGTCTCTCCAGCAATACAGTGGCCTGAGAGCGCGGGCTGGGGATGGATACACCAGACACAACTTTCTGTTGGACGCCCTCCATTTTGCTCTGCGGTAATTTGATCATGTAATTGGAAGACTTTTCCAGAGCAGATGGCTTTTTCCCCTCCCCCAAATCCCTGTTCACACAACAAAAAGTATTGAGCAAACAGCCACTTAGGGAATTGCTTTGAAACAACAAACAGTCTCATTGTCACGTTCAAAATCGAGACCCAGCTTCCCAAAAGATGAAATGCTCACATGTTAACTTCCCTGCCCAGAGGCTGCATACCATGAGCAAACCTGAGTTTCCCCGTACCAAGCAGTGTGCCTGTCAGCAGCATTGTGGTGAAACGACGCTTCTCTCTCTTTTTGGCAGGGAAAAGAGAAGGCAGAGCAAACCACGGCCCGGCCCTGCAGGGAAGCAAGGGATCCCTGCCGCAGGACAGATGGCCATGTCCTCAGTCCACTGGAAACAGGCACCTCCCACAGTCTCTTTCCCAGGACCTGACACCAGCAGATCCCCCGCTGATTCTCATAGTGGTTTAGGGGTATTTGCTGCCCATTAGTCCGTAGAAGTGAAGGTACCAGGAATAAAAGAAAGCTAGCTGAATTGTCACCAGGCTGGTGAGACTGGCCAGAGAAAGGAACTCAGAGCCAGTGGTCCCGAGCAGGCTTAGGGACGGGACAGGAGGACGGGCCTGGGGGTGAGAAGGGAACTGCCTGCACTGTTTGCTGTAGCCCCAAGAGGTTCCAGGTCTGACAGGAATTCTAGATCCTCCCCGAGGGGCTCTGCAACCTCTGCTGGGGATGACGCCTGGCTGCTGATGGGGATCAGGGACACTGGGTTTTCCAGAGAGGTTGCCTGGGAAGGAAGGGAGCTAATATTTAATAGGGCAGGTCAATGATGTGGGCTTTGGGTGAGAGGGACTTAGGTTTGAATCCAAGCTCTGCATTTATAATTTATAAGGCATGTAATTTTAGGGGGTTAACTTCTTGGGCTTCAGTTTTTTGTTTTTTTTTTAAAATCTGTACGATGAGATCAATTATATATTTATCTCACACTATTTTAATAATGAAATGATGTATTTAACTCACTTATCATAGTTGTTTCTGTTCATAAAAGAAAATAATTGTATCCATTTAATAAGTATTGAGTCCTATTACATCCTGAAAGCTATGCTAAGTGCTCCCTGAGATCTCATTTCACCCTCCCAACAACCTCACTGGCTACATAATTTGTGGGGCCCAGCACAAAATGAAAACATGGAGCCTCTGTTCAAAGTTAAGAATTTAAAGACAGTGACACAGGAGCGTTAGGCCAAGCAAAGGGCCCTGTGCAACTGCGCAAGTCACACACGCCACGAAGCCAGCTGTGCTTACAGGGTATCTACCTATTATTTCTCCTCTATTTCCATCCACCCATGAAAACTAAGGAACAGAGGCACACAAAGTCAACAAAGAGTAGCATCATCCTGGCTGCATGGCTCCGTTAGTTGGAGTGTTGTCCCATTCACCGAAAGGTTGCCAGTCGATCCCTGGTTGGGGCACGTATAGGAGACAACCAATTGATGTTTCTCTCCCCCTCTCTCAAAATCCGTGGAACAAGTCCTCAGGTGAGGATTTAAAACAAACAAACCGAGTAGCATCTATTATATACCCTCCGTCACCTCCCAGAACTTTAGGACTGTATCAGCATGGAGCTTTTGTCTCACCTCCCACCTTCCACGTTGGATTAGCACTGATTTGGGGGTTACGATGTACCAGACATTTGATATGCCTTATACTATTACTCCAACAATCTTACCAAACATGTGCCATAGACTCAATTTACAAACAAAGAACGAAGGCCCAGAGAGCTTAAGGCATCCAGCCCAAGGTTATCAGCCAGCACTGGGTCGTTCAAAAGCCTGAACTTAATATCATGCCCATACCCCCATTCTAACCGTCATGTCAGTCCTTTAACTTACTGATACACACATTTTCAAAAACAGTAAGGGGCCAAGAAAAGGCCTGTGATCCTGTTGCTCCCGGACCGCACGCAGTCTCAATCACGAAGAGGCACCTGTGCAGATCCAGCTTAACAGTAGCACAGGTCTGCACACAGCTTGGCCACAAAGGCATTCCTCACATTATTTTGTAACAATAGAAGAAATCATTTAATAATATGAATGATTAAACTAGTATAAATCCATACAAAAGAATTCTATGCTGCCATTTACAATGATGTTATAGAGAATATGAAATGACACAGAAAGAGGTGGAATGTCTCTAAAAAGCCGGTTATCAAATATGTGTATGTGAGTGTGAGCGCTCATGTGAACTGTGTCATATATACATAGTTCTTTATATAAGATGTGTGTGTATATAATCAGCTCTCTGTATCCGTGGATGCTGACCGTACACATGGTTCTACATCGTTTCATGTAAGGAACCTGAGCATCCACGGAGGTCCTGAAACCAGTCCCTCGCAGACACCGTGGGATAATGTAATATAAATGAGTATGCATGTGTGTAAATAAAGATACATGACACACATACATATTATTAACAAACATGTTAGGACACAAAGGTCATTCCCAAGCACATTTCTTCACCAACCCCAGTGACTAAGAGGAGTAAATGTGCAGAGTTCCAGGCGCTTGCTTTGCCTCCTAACCGGAGAATGGCCGGACCCTTTGACATACGTTATCCAGGGCCCTCACACCCAGGTGCACTTGCTTGGGCAGCTATGGCGGAAGGCCTGCCAGGGCAGGTGTCTGCGGGGTGGCCGGGAACTCCTAGCAGCTTTGCTCTCTGCAGTGGCGGCCTCACCGCTCCCTGAGGATGAGCAGGCTCAAAGGGGCCTTAAATACTGTGACATCTGTAGCCCCCTCACATGCAGAGCCTTTCAGGGTCTCAACAAACTGCCTGCCTCCCCCAGGACAACAAAAGGCTACTGTATTTCCTCAATCTGGATGCCCTTTATTAGCTGAGCCATGATTTTATTAACTTCTAAGGGGGGGGGAAGATCTGCCAATTAAACTATGTATAATGCTTTCTTACTAATACAAATTTTTATCTTATTCTTTTTGAAAGAGCTCCTTTAGACTTAGGCAAATCTTTATTATCTATCATTATCATGTGCATTTAAAAAAGGAACACACAAGCATGTTGGCTAAGGTTTTCCAGAACTGTTTCACATTTAGAATCCACGAGCTGTCATCAGCTGTCAGCTCTGAGCCCTTCACGTGCGTGCTTTTCCACACAGCAGCGGCCTGTGTTCTGTGGGAGCAGTGGTGATGCAGCATGTCGTAAATAATCCACAGAAGAATGGCAAGCCTCAAAAGCCAGGGGCGCGAAGTTCTTATAAATCAGCTTTGCAATTATCCGGAGCCAGCATACTCCTGACTCGCACTTCGGGAATGTGGCTGAACAAGTCTGATCCACACCTCCCCGAGCCCCTGCCTGCGCACAACTAGCCGGATCCAAAGAGGTTCAAAGAGCACTTCGTGTTTGACTGCAGGGTTTTCTTCTAAGCTGCTGGACTCCCACCCCACAAGTTTGATGCTGCTCTTTTGATGTCTGCACATGCCCAGGAGATGACATCCACGTCATGCCTGCCATCTGGCCGACAGCAGCAATCAACTGTAAAATATCCCAGCCGCAGATATGTCAAGAGAAAAAAAAAAGGCATCTCAGCTCGGAAGACATATTCTAATATTCAGCCTTCATTAGTACTGATGTCATCCCCTTAGATTTCTCTGCTGTTCCAGTTACTTTTCTTCCTGTGTTGCTAGTTGCCATAGTGCATTTCACATGTTGCACGATACATTTTCTGTCAGTCATGGCCTGCCACAGAACTTGTGTATTCCATGTGTGCCTCTGACCTATTTTTACTATTTTTTAAAATCACCATCCACACCCTCATTGCAGACCTCCTCCTTACCAGCACTTCCCATACTCACAACTGTCGCATTTGTCAGGCCTGAGGGAGTTACTGATACTAAAGAAAAAAAAACAAAACAAAAAAACCCCCCAAAAATCAAGTACAAGTAGAGAAAATAGGTGGCTGATTAATGAAAAAAGAGGTGCTAAAATATAATGTGGGACATGTATGCTGAGGACATGTTTGCAGAGGAAAGTGCACTTCTGCTTACTAATGTATCTTTTTGTGCAATACTTACAAAAGTTTACACAAATGGTCTTAGCTTGGCTGCTATATCAAAATAATGAAGGGTTTAAACAACAAAAACTTATTTCTCACAGTTCTGGAGACTGGTAAGTCCAAGATCAAGGTGCGCTGGCTGCCTGGTGAGGGCTCTCTTCCTGCCTTGCATACAGCAACCTTCTCACTGCTGCCTCCTCTCCACCCTGGCGGAGAAATCGAACTCTCGGATCTCTCCTCATATCAGGACGCTAATCCTATCAGATCAGGGCCTGCTCTCAGGACCTCATTTAACCTCATTACTTCTGTAAAGGCCCCATCTCCAAATTCAGCACATTACGGGTTAGGGTTTCGACATATGAATGGGGCTGACATATGTACAATACTAAAACTCATCAAAATGTTATAAAAGGAATATTAATATGCATTAATTA